GCCATGCCGGCGGCCCGGGCCGCCCCCTTCCCGCCGCGGCCGAAACTGGTGCTGCTGCTTCTGCTGTTGCTGCTGTTCCAGTGGACTCAGCTGCGGGGTGAGTTGTGGAGCGAGCTCGTGTCGGGCGCTCTGTCGCCGCGCTCACCAGAACAGCGCATATCCTCCAGGGTGAACCGCAGGTTTGCGGAATGAATGACAGAGGTCCGGACGCCACTCGGCTCTTCACCCGGGGCAGGGATCAGGCGGAGAAAGGACTCGGGGAATAGGCGGCAGCGAGGGGGGAGCCAGAGGCTGGGGTTGGGGGTAGGGGTAGGGGCTCTTGGGGTGGTAACAGGATGTGGCGGGCAGAGGGAGAGGAGTTCTGCCTAAAGCCTGGGGAGCGGTGCCCAGCGGCCGCTTCCTGCTGCTCGCTTCCGTCAGGGACTCTGAATCGCCCTCCCCGATTGTCAGAAGTCGGGGAAGTTCAGGTTCAGGTGTGTGCGGGCGCCTGGGGGAACTGACCGTCCCTCGGACCCTCCCGCCTCCCTCTCCAGGCAGCCCTGGGCCACTACAGTGCTATGGAATTGGACCCTTGGGTGACTTGAACTGCTCGTGGGAGCCTCTTGGGGACCTAGGAGCCCCCTCCGCTCTATACCTCCAGAGCCAGAAGTAGTGAGTACAATGGGGTGACGGGAAAACTGAGGCTTTGAAAGGGTGACCACTCAGGTCCTGGCATTCTCAGGTTGAGAGGTCCCCAACCCTGCCCCACTCTCAAGCCCTTCGATTCCAAATTTCCTCATTTCCTTGCTGTGTTACCCTGGACCAGTCACTTTCCCTCTCTGAGCCTCTGCTTCTTCCTCTGTCAAATGCTGATAATAAAGAAACCTGCCTCCCGGGGTTGATTCTGAGGATTCAACTCAGGAACTTGGTAAAGAGACAATGCTTAATGATTAGAAGGTGTTTTTATTGCTGTGTGACCTTAGGCAAGTAGCTTAACCTCTCTGAGCATATGAAAAGATCATTCTGTATGGTGCTGAGGATGCAGCAGTGAGAGACACAGAAAGCCTCGTGGAGTCTGCAGTCCAAGGGGGTGACTGATGTTGCTTCATGATGAATCACACCTGATGAAACTCAAGTTTGTTTCAAATTTGGCTGAGTGGAGAGTAAAAGGAGCATTTAAAGGTGGGAACTGGGGGAGACTTTTTTTTATAATGGTGGTAAAATACAAATAAAATTTAGAACTTTTTTTCTCAAGCATCTATAAGCGTACACTTTAGTGGCAGTAAGTGCATTCACATTGTTATGCAGCCATCACCACCATCCGTCTCCAGAAGTGGGGCCTAGTTTTATTGGTAGAGGATGAGAGAATAAGAATAAGTCCCCCATTTTTTTAATGAGGTAAAATTCACATAAAATTAAACATCTTCAAGTGAACAATTCTGTGGCATTTAGTATGTTCACAATGTTGCACAACACCGCCTCTATCTAGTTCCAGAACATTTCCATCACCCTCAAAGAAAGTTTCACCGCCAATAGCAGTCACTCCCTAGCCCCTGGCAACCACTGATCTACTTTCTGTCTCTATGAATTTGCCTGTCGTGGACATTTCGTATCAATGGGATCATACAATATGTGGTCTTTTGTGTCTGGTTTCTTGCACTGAGCTTATTTTTGAGGTTCATCCATGTCGGAGCATGAATCAGAACTTCATTCCTTTTTAATGGCTGAGCAATAGTCCACTGTATGGATATACTGTGCTTTGTTCATCCATTCATCTCTTGATGGACATTTGGGTTGTTTCTGCCTTTGGGCAATTGTGACTAGCAGTGCTATGAATATCCCTGTGTAAGTTTTTGAGTCTTTGTTGTCAGTTCTTTTTTTTTTTTAATAAATGATGCTTACTTTTATTTATTTATTTTAATGGAGGGACTCAGGATTGAACCTAGGACTTCATGCATGCTAAAGCATGCGTTCTACCACTGAGCTATACCCACCCCTCTGTTGTCAGTTCTTTGGGGTATACACCTAGGAGTACAATTGCCAAGTCACATGGCAATTCTGTGTTTAACTATTTGAGGAACCACCTAAGTGTTTTCTGCAATAGCTGCTCCATTTTAGGTTCCCACTAGCCATGTCTGAGGGCTCCAATTTCTCCACACATATTTGCCAACATGTGTTTTTGTTGTTTTTGATGAAGGCTTTTATTTGAATCTTTGAAATCCAGTCCTTTGAGACATCTTCATGCCTTTCTCTCTCACCCATATCTGATCCATCAGCAGGCCTTGCCAGCTCCATCTTCCATGTTATCCAGAATCTGGCAACTCCTCGCCTCCTTGGAACCCACCATGGTCCAGTCCCCATCAGCGCCAGACTGGACCACGTAGTCACCTCCTCCCTGAACTCTGGTTTCCAACCTCAGCCCCACAGTCTGTTCTCCGCCCCAGCATGCAGAGGGCACTTGTGAACTTCTGCATCAGGGCATGTCCCTCCTCTGCTCACAGCCCTCCAGGGCTCCCACCTCACTCAGGGTAAAAGCCAGAGTCCTTCCTGCAGCCCACCAGGCCCAAGACGATCTGCTTGTCACCTCCCTGCCCTCACCTCCTCCCACTCCCCCCCCCACTCACTCTCTTCCAGCCATGCGAGCCTCCTCCTCACTGTTTCTCATAAAACCGTAGGCACAGTTTGGCCTCAGGGCCTTTGCACTGGCTGCTCTGTCTTTCCCCAGGTACTGCATGGCTCTGCCTTCACATCCTTCAGGCTTTTATTCAAATATCTCATCAGAGAGAACTTTTCTGACCACCCTCCCTAAAATAGCACTGTCACCCCCATCCCATCATCACACTGCATCCTCCTCACCCTGCTTGATTGTTCTTTACATCACTTATACCACCATCAATTTTATATTTACATGCTTCTCATCTGCCTCCCCCACCGGAACACAAGCTCCAGAGAGCCAATCCTTGGCTGCTGTGGGCATATTCCTACTCTCAGCTTCTACAACAGGGCCTGGCACAAAGTATCTATTTGCTAACTGAACAGTTACACAGAAGTAAATGTGGATATGTATATAATAGATGCTCAATTAAAAAAAACAATGCTCACATAACATGTATGGTGCACCTGACACTCGCTGTTCTAAATGCATTCCGTTTTGAGGGGAAGGGTCTAGCTCAGTGGTAGAGTGTGTGCTTAGCATGTATGAGGTCCTGGGTTCAATCTCCAGTACCTCCTAAATAAACAAACAAACAAACCTAATTACCACCCCCCAATTTAAAAAATGAATTCCATTTCTTATCTCATTGATTCTGCTCCCCTATTCAGTCGTCTCAGTGGGTACATTTATCACCCTCATTTTGTAGATGAGGAAACTGAAGCACAGAGAAGTTAAGTCACTTGCTCAAGGTCACACAGCTCTGAAGCAGCAGAACTGGGACTTGAACCTGGGCAGAGCAGATGTTATCGTTACGGCTCTGGGCCCAGCCCACTGTACCATTCCTGCATCTCTCCTCACAGCCATTCCAACAAAATCTGCACTGTGACAGTGCCCACCGGGCAGAGCTGGGTGACCATTCCACGGGAACAGCTCACCACGTCTGATGAACTCCTTGTCTGGGTGGTCAAGGCGGGCCAGCCTCTCTGGCCCCCAGTGTTCGTGAACCTCGAAACCCGAAGTAAACAGGCGGGAGGGTGGGTGAGCTATCTATGGGGTGGGTGATCCTGGAGGCCCCAGCTCAGTGGACCTCCGCCTGTCCTTCCTCAGTGAAGCCGGATGCTCCCCGACTGGGCCCTGATGTGGACTTCTCAGAGGATGACCCCCTTGAAGCCACTGTCCAATGGGCCCCTCCATTGTGGCCACCCCATAAGGTTCTGGTCTGCCAGTTCTACTACCGAAGATGCCAGGAGAGGACCTGGATCCTGGTGAGTATCAGGGACCCTTTCCCCTAACCTATTCTGGGTAGGGCCCAGGATGTCTCCAATCAGAGACCCAGCCCAGAGCTCCTTCCTCACCTGCCCCTGGAGTCTGTCCACATTCCTCACAAAGGATCTGTACATGCATCTTGTTCAGCTGAAAAGTTCCCCCTCAAGATGCTCTATAAATTCCATTCAGTCCCAATCTAAATTCCATGTGAAATATTTGAGAAACTCAATAAACTGCCTCTAACATTTTGGTGAATGAATAGAAATTCTCAAATTGCTTACATTACCCTTAAGATAAGAATAACATAAAGAGAGAGGGTATGGCTCAGTGGTAGAGTGCATGCTTAGTATGTAGGAGGACCCGGGTTCAATCCCTAGTACCTGCGTTAAAAAAGAAAGAAAGAAACCTAACTACTCCCCTCCCCCCACCAAATAAATAAATAAATTGTTAAAAAAGTTTTAAAAGTTCTA